ACCACCATCAGATGCTTTTGTGTCGGCTCCATGGAGCTGAAGAAACACCTGCCACGACCACTAAAGAAAGATCCTTGGGAAGGTGCCCCAGGTCCCGCTGCGACTGGCCGTGTGTGTGCATGGCGGGGAATATAGGTCAGCCACGTGACGATCGATTGGACAGAAAGTATTTCTCCTGGGAATCCAGACAGAGTCAGGAGGCAGAAGATAACCTTGTGGCCCTCGTCCTCTGCGTTTCTTCGTTGCTCTTAGGAGCAAACCTCTCCCTATTGATCGGCTCACGAGAAAAGCTCCAAAGGCAGATGTGCTCATCCTTGAGCTGATTACAGAATGAGTGACATCAGAACAGGGAAGCAGTGAGGAAACAGAAAGGACACATTCCAAAGGTGGAACTCGGGCAAAGCAGCAGCGGCAGAAATCCCCGCAAGCGGAGTTTCTGGCAGGTTGATGAATTCAAGTCAGCTTTCGTCTGCCCATCCGCGCCTCCTGTCACAGGGCTGTGGCAGGGGACGCAGGTTCCCCTAAATCAATATGTTTTCTCAGGGGCTCCAGAGCCCCCATAAATCATCATTTGCATGACATATTTGTGCTAATAAATCTGCCTTGGAGAGAGGGAGAGAAAGGAAACTGGTTAACAATCAACCACAGTTGTAAGCTGTAGGGAGAACAAGAAACCCGGGTTTCTATGGCCACACATTTGTGTGGCTGCCGTCAGATTAAACGTGTCCCCCTCCTCCCTGGCCAAGTGGGAGTGGGCACAGGTCAGCATGGAATGACGCTGGGACGAGGGGAGTGTGTGCTGCTCCCATGACGGATGACAAGGCGCAGGGCACGCCGCCGAGCGCAGCCAGTTCTAAGTTCCTTCGTCTGTCTTGGGCTCTCCAAAATCACTTTTCCTGAATGGAAAATAGAGCAAGTTTATCTAGTGGTCTCTATAGAAAGGAAGGAGTGGATTATTCAGCAAACTGAAGGTTTTCTTCTGGACCTCAAATGAAGGGTCAATAACCAGAAACATCCCTGACAACTCTGAGTGAAGCTGAGTATCCAAACAGACCAAGGAGCCGGCGATGACACTAAAAGCATCTTTGTAGCTCACTAGCCTCATTTGCTGCTTTGCAGAATAAGAGCTTTATCTGTTTCTGAAAAACATTTCACACACGATGTAAAGAATTATTGAAGGGGCCAGTGCTGTGATGCAGTAAGTTAATCCTCTGCCTTCAGTGCTGGCATCCCATATGGACACAGGTTCTAGGCCTGGCTGCTCCTCTTTCGATCCAGCTCTCTGCTATGGCCTGGGAACGCAGTGGAAGATGGCCCAAGTGCTTGGGCCCCTGCAACTGCGTTGGAGACCCAAAAGAAGCTCCTGGCTCCTGGCTTCAGATAGGCCCAGCTCTGGCCATTATGTCCATTTAGAGAGTGAACCAGCAGATGGAAGACCTCTCTCTCTCTCTCTCTCTCTGCCTCTGCCTCTCTCTCTCTCTGTGTGTCTCTCTCTCTCTCTCTCTCACTGTCTGTAACTCTATCTCTCAAGTAAATAAATAAAATATTTTAAAAAAGAATTATTGAAGATGTTAATGAAGAAAGGGGAGGCCATAAACCCCTAGCAAGTCTTGCTTGAAGCCCTTATACCATCATCTATGCCATGAGACACAAGCTGGCCACCACTTTCCCGGCTCCTGGGACAGGGACAGAGATAACAAGACAAGTTCACTGAGGAGAACGGAAAAGAATAAAGTTCTCTAAACTTTTATTCAAGCTTTGTCTATACTAAATCTTTCTTTCAAACAGAGATTTTGAGGGCAGGCATTTTCTTAATGGCTAACATACCAGTTAAGGTATCCACATCCCATATCAGAGTACCTAGATGTGCTTATCAGCCCCAGACAATGATGACTCAAGTACTGGGGTTCCTGGTACCCACATCAGAGAGCTGGATTGACTATGCAACTCCTCATTCTGGCCCCAACACTTACAGGAACTCAAGAAGTGAACAAGCAAATGGAAGCCTCTCTCTCTCTCTCTCTCTCTGTCTCTGTCTCTCTCTTTGCCTCTCTTTTTCTGTCCCTTTTTCTGTGAGCATATGTGTGTCTCCCTCTCTTCTTCTCCCACACCCTCTCCATCCTTCTCTCCTTATTTAATACTTAAATAAAGATAGAGATTTTTTTTCTATTTATCTAAATGAATCTTGCTTACAGATGAACAATTTTAAAATTCAGGAATAAAGGCACAGAGAACTAACAGACATCACCATACCACCTGCACCTGAAGACAAATATGTTTTCGCTTGGTTGGCCGAATGTGGGCTTACCCTGCACCAGCTAGTAACAGGTATGTGGGAAACCTATGGTCTTTTTCACATGCAATAAAAAGAAAACACATGAGGGTCCTTTCTCCTCTGAGACAATGAGTGTTCTGTCTTCCATCTCATCCCTCTCTGACAAGGCGTCTCTTAAAAATCATTACCTTTTTTCATATGTGAAAGCAGAAGCAGCTGCTCCCGCCATCCTCCATCCCCCCAGACAGAGAGCAAAGGCCACTCCTGGCAAATGCTCCGCTCGCCAGGCTCTGCTAAATTTGGAATTAATAAAGTTTTCAGCTGAACTATTATTTTATTACACAGTGGAAAATATGCATTGATAGAATTGCCCAAATGTTTAAATTGCTTGGCCTCGTGAAAAGCCAAGTTTAAAACAGGGATATTTGGCAAGAAGGAATCCCCTGATAAAAAGCATGTGCTGAAAGGGAAACAAAAATAGAGAGGGGGTGCACGTTTGCACTCGGGGATGGTGGAGTAGGAATCCATCTCGTCCCACATTGTAAATCAAGCCCCTAGATTACCCTGTTTAGCCACAAAGAATCAAACCTGATTTGAGAAAGTCACAGGCTCAGGTCATGCAGTTACACACAGTGGTATCTTTCCGATATACAAGGAGCACAGACATTCAACATGCAAACATGTCTGTGTGGCTCTGATACAGATACAAATGTGCATATGTGGCCAGCGTGTGCATGTGCATATTAAGAGTAAGGCAGAGGAGAGATTGACCCTTGTCCTGCCCGCAGAACTTGGCCATGAGAACCCGACTGAGGCAAAAGGGTCTGGCTCGAAGGGACCAGGAAGGCAGCGATTCCTCCAAATGCTGATGTCGGCACCGTCTACCAGGCAACAGGCCCTGTGCTGCACTTCCCCTCATGCACAGACATCCACTCGCTGCTCTCATCAGCTCCATTCACTCGCGGAAAAGCTAACTTGAGAGAACACAACACAGTGACGCACGACTGGAAATTAAACCCAGGTCCATGAAAACTCAGACGTTTTCTTTCTTCTTTACTGTGCTGCCTCTTGAAGGGCAGCCAGAACTAATGAGGAGCGAGAGGAACCCTCAAACAGCAGGGAAACAGAGACATTTCCCTATATAAAGAGTGCTGGGAAGTAAAGGAAATGGACGGGGTGTCACTAGGAGCTGCCCTAAGAAGTCTGTTTCTATAGATACTCCTTGGAGTCAGCTACACTTTTGAGACTGGAGGTAGGAAAGTCGCTGATTTTTTTCTTTCTGCCAACATCAGATCAAGAGTGATGAGCGCTCAGAAACACTCAATTTTTTTAATACTATTCAATACAGCAAAATTATTTTCACAATTCTTTTTTTGTTAAAGACTTATTTATTTGAAATGCAGAGTTACATAGAGGCAGAGAAAGAGAGAGAGAGAGGTCTTCCATCTGCTGGTTTCACTCCCCAGATGGCCGCAATGGCCAGAGCTGAGCTGATCCGAAGCCAGGAACCAGGAACTTCTTCTGAGTCTCTCACACAAGTGCAGGGGCCCAAGGACCTGGGCCATCTTCTACTGCTTTCCCAGGCCATAGCAGAGAGCTGGATTGGAAGTGGAGCAGCCGGGACTTGAACCAGTGCCCATATGGGATGCCAGCACCAGAGGCAGCAGCTTTTACCCGCTATGCCACAGTGCCAGCCCCCACAATTCTTCATGTAACAGCGAGGAATCATCATGATATTCTTGACTCAGTCTTTTCTTTTGACACCAACAATGATTTAAGTCAGAAAATAAATTTTCATTTTGAAGACATAACATCCCATCAGAGATTTTATGCATGAGCTAAAATCTGCATTTACCAAACACACACATTGCACCTGTCATCTGCACACATCCTACTGGTGTCCACTTTACACACGAAGAGAACCCAGCGGCCGTACGGAGAGGAGGCGAGTTCTGCTTCATGCTCTGTCCATCAGTCACTGCGTGAGTGTCTAGATCGCGGGTATCTGTGGGACCCCAGGATGGGATGGCTAACTGGGCCTGGAGGGGGCCTGCCCGATTCACAGCCATCACAAACCTACTCCCAGTGAAAGTGTGAAGCCCCTCAAGTGTGGGACAGAGGGTCCCCGGGCTGACCACCCACACATTCACACTTCCTCACCCCAGGGGTCAAAGCTTTTAGGTCCTATTTTTCCTGCCACAGTAACGCAAAGGAAGAAGGGTTTCTTAGCAGTGGACACCACCTCCACCGTATTTCGTGTCTTCGGGAAACACTGTTGGCCACGACACTGATGGGGGCAGCGTGACCTGCCCAGTTCCACAGAGCGTGCACTTGTGCTGCGGGACGTGTACTGGATGTGGAACCCAGACAGGCTGCGGAGAGGCTGGGGATCGCAGCCTGCTCCGCCCTGCGCACGGAGCAGGGGCCCGGACCCCAGGGGGAGGGCGCTGGTCCCTTTGGGAAAACGTTAGATGCAGGGTGAAATGAAGGGAAGCCCCCACTGTGATGGGCCGTGCAAGTGTCCCTGGTCCCCGCCAGGCGGCCGCAGCCATGCTGCGGTTGGAGACCCCGCACTCCTCATAGTGTCCCCCGCACTCGCTTATGCGGGTGGTTTCTCACTCCCACGCTGTCTGCGTGGGCCGAAAGGCTTCTTTGCGTGACTAGGGAAACAGGTTCGGGGAATCGAACTGCAGGAACCAATGGGAAATAATTGCATCTCAGACGCCGCGTGGTAGGGAAATCGCCTGTCCCCCTCTCTAGCTTCTTACCTCCAACAGCCCCTGCCAATTTGCATCCTCCAGGAAGGAAACTTTAAAAGACAGCAGGTAATTAAGATGTTTTTGGCGTCGAGTAAAACTCCACGTGATTTTTTTTTCATAGTACAATGGGTTTGAAAATATTCCCGTGCGACATAAGATCTCTCACAGCCATCAAACAAACTTGAAAATGAAGTCAAAACTGCAAAAAAGAAGAACCACACACACACATAGCATTTTAAAGTGGGAAAACAACCCCAGCCATTTAGCTAAACCCACGTTTGATAAACAGGCAACCTGAGACACAGCAAGGGCCAGCCCCTTGTTCCCTTTCACTGAAAAAGAATAAAACGTGCTGGCATTTTGCTTCACACTCATAAAGTGTACACACAGGTGTGCATTTACTACGTGCAGCACATGTGTGTGTGCAGACTCATATATAATATAATGAAGCTGGCTTAAGAACCTGCAGAAGAGCCCTCCAAAAGTCATGTGGAACAATGGAATTGAAAGATAAGTTTATTTTGGTACCAACAAATTTTGAAACCCACACTTGGTTTCTTTCTACTGAGCATTTTCCACATTTTGAATTGGAATTTGTGAAGAACTGTTATACACTATACACTTTATACATGTAAACATAATTATACCCATAAAATCACTACATAGCATCAATATAATAAATAGCATTAATATAATATTACACCAGTTTGCCAATAAATAAAAAGCAAGTTAAAAGTAGGGGACCAGAGAGGGGACAGAGAAGCAATGTAGGCTTCGGAGTCATTCCTTTCATTTATGTGTTTATTCAACAAACACGGCCCTGTTATGTGGCTGTCTTCGGTCTGTTGACATTGAGGTAAGGACAAACAAAACAGTTCTAAGCCCGCTTTTGGGCCGAGGAAACACCGCACAGAAGCGAGCGCATCTGGGGTAAGTGATGTGCCCGTTGCGGTGGTGTGGGCGCAGTGCAGGGGGAGCTGAGAGCAGGGACCTGGGCTTGCTTGCAACAGCTCAGATCTGTGACTCAGGCATTGTGGGCACCTGCTGCTGGCCACATGCCGGCCTTGGAAGAGGAATGACACCTAGCCTGTGCCGTCAGCCACTCACAGCCTGGATGGGGATGGAGATTGCGCACCTGCACAGCCTCAGAGAAGGCCAGAAATCCGCTCAGCGAAGCAGCAGCCCAGTGGGTCCTGAAGAGTGTGGAGGAGTGGCCAAGGCTGTGCTGGCTTCTTCCTGAGGAAGCTGGAATGGGAAGAGCTGTGGCACACGGAAGCTGAGAAACCAGGCTGAGGTGGGCAGGCCTGAGTTCACCCAGGCCATAGGGGACTGGGAGCATGATGGTGACATTGGGGGAATGGTAAGACAGTGTCTAAGATGCAAAGTTGGGGGCCGGTGCCGCGGCTCACTAGGCTAATCCTCCGCCTGCGGCGCCGGCACACCGGGTTCTAGTCCTGGTCAGGGAGCCGGATTCTGTCCCGGTTGTCCCTCTTCCAGTCCAGCTCCCTGCTGTGGCCCGGGAGTGCAGTGGAGGATGGCCCAAGTCCTTGGGCCCTGCACCCACATGGGAGACCAGGAGGAAGCACCTGGCGCCTGGCTTTGGATCAGCGCAGCGCACCGGCCGTAGCAGCCATTTTGGGGGTGAACCAACAGAAAAGGAAGACCTTTCTGTCTCTCTCTCTCTCTCACTGTCTAACTCTGCCTGTCCCAACAAAAATAAAAAAAAAAAAAGTTGGGGCCAGAGCCAGCCACTTTGGAGGCAGGGTCCTGGCAGCAGGGTGGGTGCCCCAAGACCCAGGAATCTTGGCCACAATTATCATCGGGGCCAGAGGTGCCCAGGTGGGGATGGTGGGGAGCTGGGAGGATGGTGAGCCCAACGGCCTGGCTGACTTCCACAGCCTATGCTGGGAGGAGCAGCTGGGCCACTGTTTCCCTCTTCTGGTCCTGTGACTGAGACAACCTGCACCAAAGCCTTCACCAGGACCTGTGCATCCCACACCACCCAAGGGTGGCCAGCTGACAAGTGCACAGACTGCATAAACACTCGGGTCAGAGGTGGCCTGGGAGGGACCTGGGGTTGGGGGTGCCTCTCCCCACACCTCATCATTCTTTTTGGAACCACCTCTGGAGCTGAGTGATTGCTGTGTCCAAGGAGACTGCGTACCTCCAGGGCACACTCTCTGTAAAACGTCGCATTTAATAACTGCGGGGATTAATTACAAACCTGCCTACTATTGACAACAGTAGCTGCTTCCAGTAAATAAGTGGAAATTTCATACTGCGACCCTCATTTTAAATTTGTCACATTAAATCGTAAATACGGCTGCTACTTGATTTAACAGTGATTTTGTCACTAAATCTTTTATCTCAGCTCCAAACCTATTTTTTTTACCATCTCAGTTGATGACACCAACATAATCTAATCATTCAAATGGGAAAGACGGTGGAGCTTTGTACATCCTGTCTCCTCCATGCCAGAAATCTCACTGGTCTGCCTGAAACCTCGGCTACTCTGGGCCGTCCTCAGGAAGCTGCCTCCCGCCTCTCTGGCCTGGCTTCTGTAGCTCCTGCCTCCTCCTCTGCATCTGAGAGTTCCTGGGCCATCCGGGCCATGCAGCCGGCATCCTCAGTGCGAATCTGTTACAGCCACCACTTCTCCACGTGCACACAGAGGATGCTGCCTAGTTTGGGGACATCTCTCAGAGCAGCCATTTAAAGCCCTCTGTTTCCTTGGAGTCTCTCAGCCTGCTTTAGCTGGAAGTCTGAAGATCCATGTCCATTCACAGCTGACCACACCTGAGCAGCCTGGCACTTACCTCTGGACTTTTGCCTGCCCACTAGTCACCCGGTGTGAGCGTGGTCTTCCTCACCTGCAGCAGCCAGACACCTCAACCCCAGCTCATCATTTACCTGAGCTCTAAATCTGTGCAGGTTCACACGGCAGCTCCCACAGGGCTCTGCCCAAACACCTCTGGAGCCATTCACTGGACACCGTCAGAGGTAGGGTGCCCTCTCTGCTCAGCACGTTCTGTTTCCAGGTCACTTAACAAAGGCCAACATTCCTCTGTACATTTCAATTACTGAATTATTGAATGTTCCTCACGAGAGCCCCTTGACGGCAGGGTTTGTGTGTGTGTCTTGCTCATTTCCAGGACAGAGACACATGCTTCAAAAAGCAGGTGCTCCATAGATATTTGTGGATTTTTTCTAAAATTTATTTGGGAAGGGGGGACGGTGCTGATACGGAGATCTCATTCCCTGGTTCACTTCTCAGATGCCTGTAACAGCTGGAGCTGGGCCAGGCCACAGTCAGGAGCCAGGAACATAATCCAGGTCTCCCACGTGGATGTCAGGAACTCAATTACTTGACAGGAAACTGGATTGGGGAAGCAGGGCTGAGAATCAATTCAGGCACTTGGCTGTGGGTGGCAGGTGTCCTAACCATTAAGCTAAATGCCCACCCCTTCACAGTATTTGTTGAACGAATGCACTAACCAGCCATGAGGGAATGAAATTTGTGTGTAGCATCTTAGAGTTCACAATTGCCCGAGTCTTACTGATCCCATAAGAACTCAGGTCAGCAGTTTAACTCTGCCAAGTTCACGCAAATTAGAAAAGTTCACACACCTCAAGTTTTACAGCTCTGGGTAAGTATGTCAGAGCCACAACTTGAATTTGAGTTTTCTAAGTCCTGTCCAGGAGTTGCACGGATCCCACAGTCCTGCCCTAAATGGCCTTGCAAACACCCTGCTAATTAAGCGGTGGCACAGTTCTAGGGCCTGGCCACATGGTCAGGGGAAGTTCACCACTCCAGACTGCCTCTCTGAAAGGCTCAACGCTTCAGCCCAAACCCTTGGAGATAAAGGATATTCTTCTGAAAGGACTCTAGCCAAACACTCAAAAAGTGTGCAAGAGAAGGAGCTGCTATTTGAAATAAAGAGCTGTCCTTGATGGTGCCCCAGTTGTGTGTTTCGCACCATCTTAAATATCACGCACTACTAACGTGCAGTATCAAAACTTATGGCTGGGGAAACAGTGCCACACACAAGGCCGCCGAGAGGCGTTCTGCTTCTGGTTTAGCATCCTCCATAAATCCTCATCTGTGCAACTTGACTCCCCAGAGCGACCCTGCCTCCTTCCTGGGACTGCTTTCCCAGCCTGCGCCTGCAAAAATCCCCTCCCCACCAGCAGCCAGAGCCGGATCTCAGGGAGTGTGGGTGGCAAGTTTTAAAAAGAATCTTAACATCATCTGATTTTTACCTTTGCCGACTGCACATAAATTGCCCTTATCCTTCAGAAGAGGAAGGCAAAATGTCTTCAGCGGGCTGAGATAAGAGAACTGAATACGGATGACTCAGCATTTTAATTTATAGGGTGATTGATTGGGATGAAAGGATGTGTATTTTCTGTCTGGGCTTTGTTCATCCTGAGATACAAGATGTTACATCTCCATTGGATTCTTCTCCTAAAACCTGTTCATACATTTGTTTTAAAAGTCTTGGTATATAGGCTTGTATGGTCTTTTTATAGTTTCCAATAAAAGATTTTAGTTGTCTCTTCAATCTTTCCCCTGGTCTTTCCATTTCTAATTTCCAGGTTTAAAAGTTACTTTTGAAAGCCAAAAGAAAACACAGTGAAGTCGAGGATGAAAGAAAGGGAGAGATATGGTCCTGTAAATATAAATGATTGCCAGATTAGGACTGACAGAGCTGTTTTCTCTCGTATGGGCCTTTTACGGCCTTGCTGAGTGAAGACAACGTCAGCCGTGCACCCTGCCCAAGCTGGAGCTTTTATGGGGCCCTTTCACCACAGCACATAAACTTCGTAGGGGTTCCCAGGAAGCCTCGTCCAGGCCTCTCCACACTGTGCTAATGAGTCCCGTGGAGTCGCCCTAAAAGGGAGCAGTGTGTGTGCACGCGTTGACAACGCTGCGACAGATTTGCACCAAGCTGCTCTGAGCAGGTTCTCACTCTGTTGCCCCTGTTTGCAGATGGCACCTACACAGCAAGCAGGAGCAAACAGCCATCCCTGAGGACAGCTCCAAAGGCAGCAACACCACCAGGGAGGGTGCAGGCAGAGAACACCCCAGCAGTGAGGCAGCAGCAGCACCGGGACCCAGACAGGAGGTCTTGCCGTGTTTCTGAACCTCAGGTAAGAGGCTCTGTCTGTCCACCTTTCACAGTGGGCCCTGCTGTTCATTCTGGGACTTTGTGCAGAGGCCCCGTCCCATTCACCTCTGAGTACCCAGGCTCTCCAAGGGGTTGATGCATGTTTGACATTCCGTGCTGCTGCTCAAAACATGCTGCACAGATACGTGGGCTGCCCACCTGACAGATGTGAACAGAGAACTGCAGAGACCCCACACCTCTGATGTAAGAGGAGAAGAACCCAGAATGGATAACTTCCGATGTCTGCCTGCTCAGCGCTCCTACACACACACCATTGCTTTCATAAGGTGGCTGTCGCTTCCTGTGTCACAGGAAACCATGTCTTCCACACCAATGATACTGCCAGAGCCTGCATCCAGAAGGTGCTTAATAAAATGCTTCACAAATAAGTAATGGAATGCACGGATGGGTAGATGGATGGATGGGTGGATGGATGGGTGGGTGGATGGATGGGTGGGTAGGTGAATGGATGGGTGGATAGATGGATGGATGGATGGGTGGATAGATGGGTAGGTGAATGGATGGGTGGGTGGGTAGATATGTGACACTGGTGGATGAGTAAAATGTAAATGAAATGGAGTCCTAAAACTTAGGGAATCTTATCATTCACCAAAAACATTCCTCAAGTAAAATAAGACTTCAGCCAAAATACTTTTATCCCCCTAACAGACTGTGCCGAGCCTTCATTTTTCCCACAGCACAGGTGAACCACACAGAGGCAGAAAGAACGGGCAAGGCACCACGAGAGCTGGTGCGCAGTGTGGCCAGGAGTGCCTCTGCGACAGCTGCTCAAGGAAAGCAGGCTCTCACTCTCCTCCTCTGCTTTTAAGTTAACATTCTCCTAGGGACACAATGTAACAAACACCCTAATGCCTCCAAGGAGCGCTCCTCAGTCCTGCTTTAAGGGCTTTCAAGGTCTGATAAACGAGTCACCTGACACCAGTCACTCATCCTCAGCTGCGGTCAGCTCTATCTACCTTGAAAGGTCTGAGCTCTCGGCCTCATCTACCGGAGCAGTGAACCCCAGACACAGGCTCTACGGATGTGCTCGAGACCCACGTGCTTGGTCCCCTGAAGCTCTGCCTTCCGTTCTACCATCCTGTTCCTGGCTGGAGAGCCCAGGGTTGACTGAGGCTGCAGGATGTGCCCTGTACCGCCAAGAGTAGCTTTTCCTTTAGTCTCTTCCATAGGGTCCATTCTCTGAAAGTTTTATCCTCCCGCTTCAAAGGTTATGAGGGGACAGACTCCAGGTACCCATCAGCTGTAGTTAAGCCTCAGTTTTGCTCAGTTATTGACTCAAAGACCTCTTTGTCTTTGGGATAAACCTCCGTTCAAAGTAAGAGGAGAAGCAAAAATTTGTTCTCCTTGTGCACAGTCGTGAGTCTCTCCCTCCATGTCTTGTCTTCCCTTCTCTGGCCAGGGGACTCCCGGCCATCTTTCCAAACCTTTAGGAAATAGTCAGTCTTCTGCAAGGAGTGCTCAAGTTTCTTTTTTTTTTTTTTTTTTTGACAGGCAGAGTTAGACAGTGAGAGAGAGAGAGACAGAGAGAAAGGTCTTCCTTCCATTGGTTCACTCCCCAAATGGCCACTCAGGCTGGCGTGCTGCGCTGATCTGAAGCCAGGAGCCAGGTGCTTCCTCCTGGTCTCCCATGCGGGTGCAGGGCCCAAGCACTTGGGCCATCCTCCGCTGCCCTCTCGGGCCACAGCAGAGAGCTGGACTGGAAGAGGAGCAAGCGGGACATAACTGGCGCCCCAACCGGGACTAGAACCCGGGGTGCCGGCGCCTCAGGCCAAGTGAGCCGCAGCGCTGGCCTCAAGTTTCTTTCTAAAGACTGATGTCCTACCTCCATCTAAACTTACCTCCCAGACTCTTGGTAGCCTAAGCAAAGGGAGTCCACGGGTTGCACAACACTCACTCCCTCACTGCCCAAATGAAACCCTCCAGGACCTCAGAGCAGCACCTCACAAGTCCAGGCCAAGAGACCCCCACGTCCAGCACTGGCCAGAGCAAAAGCCACCTTTGCACTTAGCTTGTGCTCGGCAAATGAGATCCCAGGCCTGGTGAGGTGACGAGGGTGGACGTTGACTTTTCACGGAGAGGAGACGGGGGGTGTAGGAAGAGTGGCCTCACTTGCTCTGGGACCGACTGCCCTGCCCTGCCCCGCCCGGGCCTGGCTGTGTCCCCTTCTGTGGAACAGCCACACACTGCTCACTGGAGAGGACACAGGCCAGGCGGAGGCAGATAGGAAGCTCTGCAGGGACAGCCCTTCCCTTCCCTCCAGCCAAATACCACAGTTCCTCTATCACCTTCCCCTTCCCCCATTGCTCTATTACTGTGCCGCTTAAGACAAGGGTGTTTTTGTCATTCAACAGCCCTAATAAAGAAGGCTTGGTCTGGGCAGGACTGATGGGGGCTTGCCCTGCAAGGAGGCCCTCATGCTCCCTTCCCAAACAGGGGCAGGTTGCGGCTGCACACAAGCTGCCTCAACTTGAAAGGCACTGGATGCCTTGAAAGCTGTATTTTCCCCGCGGCTCTCGTTTGAGCTGCTGGATCACAGGAAAACGGTATCAGGGGAACAGAAAAGGAGCTCCTGGCGCTTCCCGTCTGTCCCCAGCGTCTAGCAAGGAAGTCGCAGGCTGCTAATAGAGAAACAGCATGTGCCTCATGCTTGGAGCAGCACACGGCAGCCGACACAGTGCCTTCACTCAGCTCCCCACAGGGGCCTGGCGAGGCAGCTCTGGGAAATGTGTCTGTCCCCATTTCAGAGAGGAGGAGACTGAGGCTCCGACACACGAGATCACTTGTTCATGGTGACACGCGACGTAACCGAAAAGCTGGCAGGAAAAAGTAGGTTGTCTATTTGTAGCTTTTTAAAATTAACTATACCGTGCTAAAATGAAAATAGCTGCCTTCACTGACTAAATGAAAGGATTTTCTGGAAACTCATTGTGATGGTAATAATTTCCCAGTGTGTGCCTACCTGGTGCTTTGTTCGCATCGCTTCTATCCTTCAGAACATGCTAGAAGTAATATGAGAGTCTGTATTTAATAAAATACAGACTGAATCTCAGAGAAGGAAAGTCACATAGCAAAGGCACACAGCCCACAGTTGAGAAAAACTGGGTCTGAAATGGAATCTGCAGCTCCTGCTGCCTCGTGGAACCCCCTGGTATGTACAGGTGGGCAGCAGAGCCCCGTGTTGGGGTCCCTTGGACACCTGCTTGCTGTGTAGACCAAGCAAGGCTCCTGACTGTCCCCGGTGGGTTTTCTCTCTAGAAAGAAAATAGCGTCTCCCTCAACTGCCTTCCAGGGTTACTGTAAGGGCCAAATCCATCCATTCAACAAACTGAGTGCCTACTACCCGCCAGCCACCACCCTGAGCTCTGGTAGCACAAAGCCAGGCAAAGGCACCATAGACTCCTGCCTTCCAGGCAAAGGCACCATAGACTCCTGCCTTCCAGGCAAAGGCACCATAGACTACTGCCTTCCTGCAGCTTAACTTACGTTCTCACAGATGCAATGAGGTGATTGCTGTAGAAACCTTGTTGTCAGCAACATTATTCAAGATAGCCAAACGTAGAAATGACCCGGTGTCTATCAAAGGACTGATAACACATAACACATAGTAGGAGCATGCAGTGGAATACTTTTCATCCTGAAAAAGGAAGGATATTCTGACACATGTGGCAACATGGATGACCCCTGGAGACTGTATGGTAAGTGAAATAAGCTGGTCCCAACGAAGACGGGTGCTGTAGGGGTCCCCTTACACCAGGTCCCTAGAGCAGTCATAACTCAGTGTGGCAGTTGGCAGGGGATGAAGAGGGAGCAGGGAGTCAGTGTCTGATGGACACCGAACTTTAGTTCTGCAAGCAGAAACGAGTTCTGCAGGTGGATGGCGGTGCTGGCTGCACTACAAGGCAAATGCACTTAGTGTCACTGAACTACAGAGTTACAACAGTCAAGAAAGCACACTTTAGCTTTGATGCATCTTTCCACACTAAGAAATTGCTGAACTTTTAAAGCATTTCACAGCCATTCCAGTCCCTGAACTTGCTGACACTGTCTACACGGCTGGAGAATTCCTTTCCTACTCTTTGCATTTCCCAGACTTGGTCTTTCATGAAAGCCGAGCTGAAACGCCACCACCTTGCTCACCTTCCTGGATCTTCCTCGCAAATGCAGGTCATTCCTCACTCTGGTTCCAGGTTGGCCACAGCCTGGACCTGTTATTTTCTATGGTCCTTACTCTCTGCTGTGACTTCCTTGAGGGTAAAACCCACCTCTGTGTTGTGTTTTAACCCCCAGCACCTAGCACAGGACTTGATGCATGCAGGGGCTTCCTTGTTTAATGAGTGAAACTATGAACACATGGAAGTGCTTCACACCCTTTTAATACACCAAGACTTCAAGAATCCCAACGTGGGACTGGCGCTGTGACATAGTGGATAAAGCCTCTGACTGCAACACCGGCACCACTATGGGCACCAGTTTGTGTCTCAGCTGCTCTGCTTTCCATCCAGCTCCCTGCTAATGTGCCTGGGAAATCAGCAAAGATGGCCCATGTGCTTGGGCCCTTGCACCCATGTGGGAGACTCAGAAAAAGCTCCCAGCTCCTGGCTTCAGCCTGAACCAGCTCCAGCTGTTGTGGCCATTTAGGAAGTGAACCAGCAGATGGAAGATCCCTCTCTTTCTCTCTCCTTCTCTCTCTGTAACTCTGCCATTCAAACAAATAAATAAATCTTAAAAAAAAAAAAAAAAGAAGAATCCCAACAGGATAGTCAAGTACCCTAAAGCCACTCTGCATGGCCAAGACCCAAGATCAAGGTCAGCAAGAGCTAATATTCAAAGAGGACCATGGGGTTGTGACCTTGTGGCGCAATGGTCTGACTGCAAAGACAACCATGGGTTGAGGCAGGTTTTGCCTCACTGAAGCATCATGGCTACCGTATGAAGATCCTAACAGCATCCCTACCCTACAGCAGTGTGGACATCACAAGTCACACCCAAAGTGCAACACAGGCGAACGGCCAAGCCAGGAATGAGGCAGTGACCCAGCTGCCCTCCCATATTTGCCTATTCTACTGCCTGGATTTCACCAAACAAAGCACATCTACCTGTTTGCCATTTGGTTGGGATCAGCCTCATCCCTCATGGCTCCCTCTGAAATGGAAGGTGAGCACTGGGGCAGAGGAGCAGGTGGATCATGTTAGAGAATGGATGACCAGCATCTTGCCTGTAAATCATGCCAGCATCTCCTGTGTGTGTGTGTGTGTGTGTGTGTTGGGGGTGGGAGGGAGCAAGAATCACTTTTCCATTTAATTGAATTTAGGTTCCCATTTCTTCACTTTGGGAAAATGGCAGATACTTTTATCAAATTTTCTACAATTTTTAAACTTTATCTTTAAATGTCAAGTTGTAAAAAGAAAAAATAAAAAACTCAAAATGGCCTTTCCTCCTGGCAAAACTGTCAAGAGTTGAAATGTACAAAATGTTTGGTTTCCAGGCTGGCAGCCAACACTGGGAGTCAAGGCTAACACATTCCATGATATACTTGTGGAGCAATTTCACATTGTCTTTGGGGTGCAAAGTGCCCCAGGCAAAAAGTGACAACTGAATTCAAAGCTTGAGAGAGCCAAGGGAGCTCCCCAGAGTCGAGGACAGGCAGGGTGGTCCCACAAGCCCATGGGGAAGAGTCTGTGGACAGTCGAAAGCCAAGGGCACTGCTCCATTAAGCACCTGAGGGACGGCCGCTCAGCGAGTGTGACAGCTCAGCAGAACAGCCTGGCCTTGCCCTGACTCCACCTTCCACAGATGGGCGCTCTTCTCTGAAAACGTCCAGGACGTGGGACATGCCACAGGTTGGGTCCTCCTGGGAGCACACAAGGCAGCTTCAGCCTCTTGGCCAAGCTCAGTGTGGCAACTCCTGGAGCCAGTAAGAGGCCACCTAAGAAGACCTCCTCCTGACAGAGGGTGGGCTCCTGATGCCCCTTCTCTGAGAGTGGACCCAACTCTGTGCCTGTTGGAAAATGGTCAGCAAAGCCAGTGCCTAGGTCTCAGCACTGTTTCAGTCCTTCTATCCAGGCCTCTCATCACTGGTCCCTTTCGAGAGTCCACAGAAATGCAGTCATGAATGCATTCAACAGCAGAAATTGTCACCCTACTGCAGGCTCTGGGGTTGAGAAAGTCAAGACAGTGCACAGGAATGCAAGGAGACACGAGCTTACTAAGCAGCAGGAGAGAGAGAACCACAAGACATGAGAGCTGGAAAGTGCTGGTGAAAACAAAGCAGCCAAAGAGAATGGGGAGTCTAGGGGAGGCTGTGCCTTATGCATGGTTAGGGGAGCCTCTCAGGAGGCAGCACTTGATCAGACTTGAAGGAAGGGGGCGGGCGGGCTTCATGAGCCCTGGGAAGGAGTCCAGGCAGAAGGGATGGGGTGAAAGGGCCTTTGGAGGTGTCCTTGTGGCCAGCAGGTGTGAGGAGCACACAGCAAGGAGGCCAGTGTGTCCAGGTTGAGTGGAGCAAGGGCAGCGTCCAAAGACGTGAGGTCAGAGATGCAACTGTGCTCAGAGAGGAGAGGCTGGGGCTGTGGCCTGTCTCCTTTTAGAGAGAGGAAAGGAAGCTGAACGTAACAAGACTTGAAAACCTCAGCTACTAGGGGCTGGGGCCTGTTCTGGGGCAGGGTATGATTCAGGCAGGTGGTAGTCGTGACTAGGAGCAGAATGATGGAGTTGGACCCTTGAAGCTCTGTATTGAAAGCACAGCCAGTTGGGCTTGCCCTTAGATTGCATGAGAAAAAAGGGGAGCCCAGCGTCACCATTTGGCTCCTGCAGCTCTTTTACATAGAGCGGCTGCTCACTGAGACAGGATGGGTAGACAAGGCAGGCGGACCGTGGAAGGTGGGGCCCTCAGCTTCCAGTGTGGTGAGCAGGAGTGTTTCTAGAAATTCTAGGGGAGACATCAAGTCGGGAAATGCACGGAGGAAACTGGACTACAGGGCGAAATTGCAGGTGGGAGTGTAAACCGGGGGCTGTCACCGAGAAGTGGGACAGACGAGATAGCCAGGGGAGCAGCCAAGAAGTGGAAGAGGAATTGAGCCTTGGGCAGCCTCGTGCTGGGTGGTTGGGAAGATGAAGGCCCGCAAAGGACCAGGAGGAAAAATGACCGCCCACAGAGGAAGCAGCAAAGGCGTCCAGCCCACCGGGAGAAGGAAGCAGCCTGGAGCCGGCCACCTGAGTGTGGCTGCAACAACACGGAGGCCGAGGGGACGTGCACGGAGTTTGCCGAGAGGGCCAGGTGATGTCCCATCAGTGTGAGCTGAAAAGTGAGTTGAAGGGCAAATCTCCGCCTCTCTTGCAGGAAGTTTTGTTTTATTGGTGGAGATAAGTGGGACTCAGCTCAGAGGAACTGGGGAGCAGACCACGGTCTCTGCAGCTGCTCGTCTTGTCTGTTCACCCGTTTCTCGGAGAGTGGAGAAGCAACACGGTTCCTTCACACATGCAAAGGCTGTGGGTTAATGAGAATGTCCAGTGGATAGAAAAGCTGGCACTATCGGAGTGAGGGGGTGAATGACACTGAAGCAACCTGCCCACGCCATTGCTGGGAGGGTGGCAGCACCAACCAGAGTGTGAGGAGAGGGCTCTGGCTTCCAAGTCTGTCCTCGAGTGCTGCCTCTAATAAATCATCTGACATCTCTGTGTCCTGGGTTTTATCCACAGAAGAGAATAACATCAAGTGAGCAGCCACCGGTGTAGCACCGAAAGCCTCCAGGAAACCCTCATCCCAGGCCTCCTCACCCTCCGAGAACGTGGAAAGCACAGGTGGCCAGGTCAGGGGGTGGGGGCCCACACACCTGCAAAGGCTGGTGTCAGTGGTCGACTGCCAAGCCTGGGTCTCCTGCACTGTTTTCCTCCCGCACTTCCTTGAAGGGACGAGCCAGAGAGAGCCCTCTCCTAACCCTGTCCACACACAGCGCTCAGTGAAACCCTCAGCTCAGGAAACCCTCAGCGGGCTCTTCACAAACCATTTCAGCATCAGTCCTTTAAGACGGTAACTTTCTGATTGTCTGTATTGAAAGGTCTTTCTTTTAGGAAGAGGTGGTAACGTGTTTCGTAACTCTCTTGTTTGGCCAAAGAAGGAATCGTCAGGGCTGACATTATGGTATAGCAGGTAAAGTCACCACCTGCAATGCCAGCAGCCCCTCTGGGAGCTGGTCCATATCCTGTCTTCTCCACTTCCCATTCAGCTCCCTGCAAATGGGAAAGCAGCAGAAAATGGCCCAAGCGTTTGGACCCCTGCTACTGGCATAGGAAACCTGGATGAAGCTCCTGCCTCCTGGCTTCAGCCTGGCCCAGCCCTGGTCATTGTAGACATCTGAGTGTGAACCAGAAGATGGAAGAGTCCTCTCTCCTCTCTCCTCTCTCCTTTCTCCTCTCTCCTCTCTGCTCTCTCCTCTCTCTCTCTCTCTCTAATTCAGATTTTCAAGTAAATAAACAAATCTTAAAAATTAAAATAATGAATTGTCATCTCTACACCAGTGCCCTTAGCACCTCTGGGAAAGTTGACTCCCCTGTGAAGGCCTAAAGGCTGGGAGGCCCTGGCCCAGGGCACAGTAGGACAGGCCCTGCAATGTGTACCACTCACCTGTGCACCCCCCCTCCCCCCAGGGTGCTGCTCACTGCTCCCAGGCCTGTGCAGGGGGCTGGGCTGGGAAGTCCAGGCTTTGGGGCAGATCTGGGCTCATCCCTCCTGACACCCTTGGCTTTTGAACTCTAAGGAGGTCAGGCCAGGTCACTTTCCATCAAAATACTCATTTCTTTGAAATTCTCTTTTCTCAAGGATCCCACAAGGGCATTCAGTGGATGCAGAAGAGGCCTTCAAAGCAGGCCCTTTGTACTTAGCTGTGTTATAAAAGTTTGTTATGGATATCAGAAAATATGTTAATGTTCTGCATTTCAATAACTTTAGGGTTAGCCTAAGGTGAGGTCACCTCAGATTTGGTTGTAACCCCCTTGGTGGTGAGACAAGATCCCTCCTGACCAGCCTTCAAGGACAGAGGGGGGCTGGGAAAACAAGAACCCACTCTCCACCCCCACTTTGCCCATCAGGATCAGGAGGTGTTGGGAGCTGAGTCCCTGGTTTGGCCCACAGCTGCAGGTGCAAGCAAGGTGTTTCCGTTGCTTTGCACAGAGAAGGAGGGGAAGTTTAGGTAACTGCCAGGGTCACGCTGCTGGTAGAGCACTGGCATCCTAGTCCCATAAGACAAAGCCACGCTCTTCCCAAGGGCACTTTTCCTATGACCCAGGACCCCCTTATCTGACAGAGTGTCCCACTTCCTTAGTGTTTCAGCTTATTTCAGTTATTTGTTTTCTCCATTAAGCAAATGCTGTTGCCAAGCACTTGGAGGGCAGCAAAGCTTCCAAGAATGCTTTTTCCTTTTGGATTTGATTGAGTCCGTTATCTCACAGGACGGCGTTTCACATGCAGCCAGTGTTTCTTTTCTTTTTTTTTTTTTTTAAGAATTAATTTATTTCTTTGAAAGAACAACAGAGAGATAGATTTTCTACCCACTGGTTCACTTCCCAAATGGCTGCAACGTCCAGGTATGGGCCAGACAGAAGCCAAGAGCCAGGACCTCCATCCAGGTCTCCCACCAGAGAGGCAAGGGCCCAAGTGCTTAGGACAACATCTGCTGCTTTCCCAGGTGAATTATCAGAGAGCTGGATTGGAAGTGGAGTAGCCAGGACTCGAACCAGCGTTCTGATATGGGATGCCGGGGACAAAATCAGCTGCTTAATGTGCTGCACCACGATGCCTGTACCTCCAACCAGTACTTCCTGAATGTTTACTCAAAGTCTAGCATGCTGTTAAGCATGGCTCAGTCCTGCCCTCACATAGGAGTCCTGGGTTTGCATCCAGGCGGCCACACCACACTCAGTGGAGCCCCCAGACCCAGGCCCACAAGGGTCCTGCAGACCCCAAGGCAGAGTGGCCACATTCAGGTGTCCCCGGCTGGCAGTCCTGAGCAGGCCCGGTAAGGAAGAGCTGCTCCAGGGGCAGAGGGTTCTGGCTAAGTCAGGAGCCCTGCCCTGGGAGTGGGGCAGTGGAGCCTCCACCCTCACCTGTGCCGGGTGTTTAACAGCACCTGGTTTGCCAGGCTGTCCTGAGCACAAGGCCTGACAGGTGGAGGCCTTTCACAAGCCTCCATGCAGAGCGTGACAAAGGTAAGTGCTCCGCAAATGGTACCACATCACATACAACTTTAAATTGCCAATTACAAAGGAAGACCTTTCTCCCTGTCTCTCTCTCTCACTATCCACTCTGCCTGTCAAAAAAAAATAAAAATAAAAAAATAATAAATTGCCAATTATTCTGTTAATGATGTGCTGTGACTTTCTGATGTATGTCTGTGTGCGCTGGAAAATCTGCTTAGGGAGAGGAAGAGAGCTTTGGGCAGCACCAGCCCCGACAGAAACCAAATGCAAAACCTGTGCCCGAGTCTCGCTCCTTTGAGAAGCCAGAAAAAAAGGCACACATCACACCAAGAATGGGCCCCCGTGGGTGTGTGCACATACCAGGACGCTCAGCTCCTCTGTCAGAGAGGGGAGGAAAAAGCTCTCATCCTGTTTTGGCTTGTGCTGCCGGGGAGTGCTGGGATGGGAAAGAAAGCCTGTATTTACACTCAGCCTTTGCTTGATTTACTGTGGCTTGTCAGACAGGCCAGCCCGAGACGGTCTGCTCAGGTCTCATCGCACTTGCTGCAGAGCCTAGAGAGCCCACCCTGTCTGTGGACCGCTCGTGGACTTCGGGGAGCAGGCAGGGAGTGTGCCACGGCGGCGTCCTGGGTGTGGGGTGCACAGCTCTCCTGGATCCACAGAGGTGCTGTGGGATGAAGCCAGAGCAGCCACAGCTGAGCCGCAGTTTGCTTCTGAGAATTTTAAAACTGCATGCCAGTTAGAGCTCTCTCGTGGTACTGCGTGCTTTGGGGTCCCGGCCAAATGAGCTGTTATCTGGCGAAAGGGCGTGTGTTGTCCAACGACAAAACTGGGAGTGAAACATCCTCATTTCTTTCTCTCCTCTCAGGCCACACAGTGAGAGCCCGGCCAGAAGCCCTGCTCCTCAACCAAGAAATGAAATTTCTCATTTTTTGACTCTCCAGTTTCTTGGCGCTGCAGCTGCCTTCTTGGCTCCCTAGAGAAGAGAGACTTTTCTTCACTTATTCATTCATTTATTTAATGGGTATTTATTGAGCCACGGGTGTGCAAGGTACAGGGAATCCCTTGAAAAACAAGGGCCAGTCTCGTTAAGTGCATATTTTGCTAATGAAGATGGACGACGGAATCAAGGTGAAGGAATTCAAACAAGTGCAGGACTCCACGGAAAGTCCAAACACGAGCATCTAGCCAACAGAGTAGGGGACAGGGGCCAGGGTGGGTGGACATGGAGAGACAGACGAATGAGGGAGGACTTGAAGGACGAGTGTGGCTTAGGTGTTGGCTGGTATCAAAGAGTAGAGCGAGCCCCCACCACCACCACAACACACACGCTTCTGAGTAACTGAAGCAGCTCTGGATGATGGAGGTAAAGGCAGACAGATGAACAGGGACCAGACAGCAAAGGTACGAAGGCACTGAGGAGCCTAGTGATGGAGAGAATGCCATCTTTGGGGGTCTGAATCTGGACAGGGGCTTGTTAGATTGGCCTTGATGGCCCTTTCTGCTGGGTGAGAGTGATAGAGGCAGCAGAGCAAGCTCTGGGCCAGGGATCAGGAGAGATCTGAATCTGCACAAGGCTGGTGGTGCTGAGATAACAGGGATGCATGAGCCAGGGCCCAGGGGGCAAGCCTCCCCCCTGCATGGAGCCAAGCTACCTGCTGGGCATGGGCAGGGAGGTGGCTGGGCACTAGGAGCTGGCCATTGCAGGGAGGCCCCCAGGGCCACCATGCCTGGCTCACATTTGGCTGCCTTTATGACTTCCCAGGTTGATGGCTTGGGTAGCTGGGCAGGAGAGGAGCCATTTAGGGCGGGAGAGAACAGAAAGAAAAGGCAGAGTTTTCAGGGGGAGAGAATTGGAGGATGAGCTCAATTTTGACGCTGTTCAATTTGGGGTGCCCTGGAGAAATCCAAAGAGGAGTGGGAAACAGGGAATTGAGTCGACACCATTGGAGCCCAGAGTACACACGGGTCTGGGCTGGGAGTAGAGATGTAAGATGGACGTGAAATGGAGTCGCTCTGGGAGGCTGTGCAGAATAAGGAGAGAAACCTGGGGCAGAATGTTAAGAAAAGCTGCTGTGCCAGACTGAGCAGAAAACCAGGAAGCAGAAAGGGTCTGGGGAGAAAGTACTAGATACGCAAGGATAGCTAATAGGAAACCAACCACAGGGAAGGTGGCCAAATGTCCACAGCATCCAAGAAGAATCAAGATTTAAAAGTGCCCCTGGGCGAGGATACACAGAGAATCCCAGCCAACTTTGGTCAGAGCCATCTCAGAGCACAGAGCATGAAACACCCATGAAGGAGCAGAGGCGGAGTGTGGGCTGCAGGCTAAACCCACGCGGCAACCAGAGGGGGGTGGATCACAGGGCTTTTTCCTGCATGTTTGCAGATTTTGAGATGTTTGCTGAGTGGCAGGAGGGAACCAGCAGGAGCCGAACAGAGAGAGAAAGTCCGCCAAGGCCTCAAGACAATGGCCAAGGGCCCTCGACAAGGGCAGGAGCCCCAGACCAGAGGAGGCGCACAGCTCCCACTGCAGAGGAAAGAGCAGAGGATGCTGGGAGCTCGTCAGCTTGCAGTCTTGGGGACAGTAGGTGGACGGACATTTTCCCTCACGTTTTCTGAGTTGTGTGGCTCCACCGTGGACAGTGTGGGAGACAGATGGTCAGCCCTACAGGTGGACCACCTTGGAGTTGAGATTTTGTAAAGGTTCATCGGGCCTGGAGGTGGCAGCTGTGCAGCGGAGCCCAGGCAATGCAGGTGGACACCAGCCACCCTTCCAGGCTGCTCTAGAGGCAGGACCCAGGAGCCTCACTAGGTCTGGGGTTCTGTGGGAATATCTTTCCAGAAACTCAAACTCCCCACAGTGTCCTTAAATCACAACACCACTGTGAACTCCTGGTCCTGTCTCTTGCGCTTATTTCCAGTGAAAACAAAACACTGACACACTTGAACGAGACGCATGACGTTCTAACAGTAGCTAAGGTTCCCGTCACCCCTTTTAAAGGAAAACCAGTGAAATTTTTATTTTTTATAATGCTTGATTTGTTCATTTCACTTATTTGAAAGGAGAGAGAGAGAGAGAGAGAGAGAGAGAGAAATCTTCCATCCACTGATTCATTCCCCAAGTGCCCCCCAAATCAGGACTGGGCCAGACTGAAGCTGGGAGCCAGGAACTCCATCCAGGTCTCTCATGGGGTGGCAGGAACCCAAGCACATCACTGCCTCCCAGGGT